TACATGCTCTATATACCTGAATCTAATACATAATATCGGTACTTGGCTTGATTGCCCTATTTTCCTATATAAGTTATTTGGTTTTTATTATTCTAATACCTATGCGCCTATTTGCAAACATAACCTCAAAATCATTCAGTGTATATGGTTTATAGAAGTTCTCAGGAGTGGCCGTCGATAATATTCGTTTCTACGGTAATTTATATATAATTTCGAATCTAGGAAACAATTTTTCATGGTTATTGGTTTTTAGGCCAAACATGTATGGAAGCTGAGCAATCTCCTTTTTCTAGTAAAATTTTCTTTAGATTTAAACATTAAGCAGTTAAATGCTTAAAAAAACAAAAATGTAATATGATGAATGTGAAATTTTGTATATTTGTTACTCAATCACGCAAAAACTACTGAAAGCATTTGGATGAAATTTGGTACACATAAAGTTTATGACCTGAATTGAAACATGGAATACTTTAAATCCCCGAAGAACTTTAAGTCGCTGTGGGATTCTCTAAAAACTAATTAGAAAACGGACGAAGTCGCGGGCTGAAGCTTGTAAAAAATGAATAAATAAATCTTCACTCATATTACGCGACAAGCAATGTTATTTACAAAGGCAATAAGCCAGCCGTGCTTTATTACGGTCGCACCAGAAATAAATAAGCTTTTCCAATAAAGCTCACTAGAATTGCTTTACTATAACATACAAAGTAGGTTTTACCAGAATAAAATGCCTAGCTTTCAATCCAACTAATATTATATAATAATAATAAATAATAAACATATCCAACACTCACACCAATTAGCCTAGCCCCAAAGTAAGCACTGTAAGGCTTGTTTTATGGGATGCTAGGGTAACGGATTTCGGAGTTTTTGTGATGAATACGAACATTTACCCTCGAGTCATGAATGTTTAAATGCATTTCTATATATATATACTTATATATGTATCGGTATATGTATTCTATTCGTTATCCTATTATCCCATAATACGAGCTTTTAGTGCTTACTTTAAGACTAGGCTAATTTGTGTGAGTGTTAGAAATATTTATTTATATTTTGATCCCGGAAAAATTTATGGTTCTTTTGGTAATCTCAAATTACTATATTTAACGCGGACGAAGTCGAGGACGGCTACTAGTGATAAATAAACGATATAGTAGTTTAACATGTGACATTTATGACCTTAAAATTGGTATCATATTTTTATCTAAGCACTAGTGGCCCGCCCTCGTTTCGCTTCGGTGTAGAGCTGTAGTGTAGACTAAAATGACTCTTCATGTAATTATAAAAAAAAAAACTGAAAATGGTATATTTGCCTTTTCCAAACTTCTATTGACATCACGTCACTCAATTGTTTTGCCTTCCCGGAACCTCTCCACTAACATTTGAAATTTATGGTGTGGTATTAAAGTTCAAATTGACTTTTAAGTATTATTACGAATCGTTTGTATGGGAGTATAGAAAAGTGTTGTTTTTGTACCTTTTTAGGCATTTTTTTGTTTTTTTTTTACGTAATAACCATCTTCGTACTTCAAGGAATATTCTAAAAAAAGAATAATTGAAATCGGTTCAGCTGTTCTCGAGATTTGCGCTTAGCAACACATTCAGCGATTCATTTTTATATTATAGATTAAACTACTACTATTTTTATATATAAAGAAATTTTCACAAGAAAAAATAAACTCGGGCATATAATAACTACTTAGTTATATCCTCTACAATTAGAAGCTACAAGTTATACAAAGTTCGGAAATGCTAACATTCTTACTGTAAATAAATGATACCACAAAACTCGACTTCAAGTGCAAACAAGGCTGTACCTGTCTAGTTTACACTTTGTTATGCGAATTAGTGTTGAATGCGATTATTAAATTGTAAATGTTGTATGAAAACATATTACTATATACATAATGTATTATTGCTTGTCCTTATTTGATTTTGCTTGTCATGCCAGCTATTCGTGTCAACTATTTGTAAACTTGAACTTGAAATAAGTCTGTTCTTTTCATTCCTTATAAAGCATGACAAGGACAGACTGCTGTCAAATTTAAACATAGCTAATACGAAAAGAGCCGGCAGAACAAGCAAAATTACATAAGCACAAGCAATAATAAGACTTAGCGACTGGCACTTAGCATTATTATCAATAATAAATCATCCTCAAATTCAGTAAATCCTACTATCCTTCCTAGTTCTTGTTATTACAAACTAGCTGAACCCGCGAACTTCGTACCGTATATACAATAGGAGAAAGTCGTTACTATAAACTTCATTTAATTTAGGATTGTAAAAGAACTTAAACATAAAAGTTGCTAAATTTAGTAGGATAATAATAGTAAATGAATGAAATGAAATGAAATGAAATGTCATTTATTCAGTCTAGGCTGTTACAAGCACTTGTGAGAGAAGAAAATTAAAATACAATAAAAGTAGACAAACTCTTTTATATAGTTTTTTTATCACCAAATGTGTTCAATTCGCCAATCCGCACTGGGCTCGTGTGGTGGGTCATGGCCCAATCTCCCTATTCCATCCATAGGGTGGTGGGTGGTTTATGTGGTTGGTTTGGATTTCGAAGAAATATCATCACCGAGCTAAGCTTTAGTTTTAAACTGTGGCAACAGCCACTTTTCTGAGTTTAAAAGTCAGTCCGATAGTTGGTGGCTATGACTTCGTCTGTTACACAATGAAGTGTGCTGTCAATGTGTTCTTGATTTAAAAGTTTAAATACGATGTTGATGATATAGCCACCTAAAATTGGTCATTCAACCGTTTTTTAGGGTTCCGTAATCCAGACAAGGAACCCTTATAGTTTCGTCATGTCCGTCTGTCCATTCCCGGTTTTGTTTGAAGACTATTAGCACTAGAGAGCTATAATTTTGTGAAGATCATATATCGATCACGCCGACAAAATGGTAGAATAAAATTTAAACGAATATTTTTTTTAGGGTCGCGCCCCTATATGTAAATTGGGGTTTTTTTTTAACTACTGTGTAGAGATATCGTTGAATAGCTCTTTTAAAATTACTTAGAGTTTCCTAAAATTTTTTTTATGATTTAAGAATTCGTTTGCAATATATTGAAATTTAATCAATTAGATTTGATTTGTTTTGGACTTTGCACCAAAAACCTCGGTGTACCAGAAAAGCTCTTATAACATGTGTATTAAGGTATACAATAGAATTCCAAATCAATTTAAGCACAGACCTATAAAATTAATGGCAAAAAAGTTACGGGACTGGTTAATAAGTAAATGTTTTTATAGTACAAATGAATTTTTATTATGAATTAATAATTGTGATTTGGCTGACATAATGAAGAAATGGCTATTGACTTAAAAAAATGACATGTATTGTATGATTATTATGTGTAATATAATGTATAGTCATTATATTAATTAATTATTGTAATTGTGTTGACATAATGAAGAAATAGCTATTGAATTAGAAAATTTGACATGTATTAATTGAATAAATAAAAATGAAATAAATAATAAATTTGACATTTGGGATGCAACTATTACTCAATTTGAATTTGAATTTTTAGATAATTTATTAGTATTTTGTATGCTCTTCCAAGGGCGAAACATATGGAACTTTTTATATATTACCAGCTGTAACAAACTATGTTTCATGCAAATAAACTTTCATTTCATTAAAATGCTAATTGTTGTTTGAGTAGAGCGTCACCCCGCCCCTCTTAAAGCTAAAATTTTGGCTTGAAAAACCTGGAAAAATTCATCATAATAGTTCTATTCATGAACTTTTAAGGAAAACTATAACGGTTAAGATAGATTTGTTAGATTAAGAATAATATCAATAATCATTCAACTTTGGTTCAGGAAAATTTCTTACTTATTGGAAATTTATACAATAAACATGCGTGACGCATGTAATCTATTTCACACCTTATTATTTGCATTAAGTTTTTTCCGTGACTTTTCCGATATTTAATTAGCTATTTATTATATAAGCTATTCCGGGCGGAGATGAATTCAAAAAATATTATGAACTTATTAAAATCCGTGCAGCCGTTCTAGAGTTATAAGTGTTGTAAGTGTGTTGCTAACACGAATTTGTTTTATAGATATATTTATATATATAAAAAACAAACATATGTGAAAGTTTGTACGTGTGTTACTCAATCACGCAAACACGGCTGAACGGATTCCGATGAAATATTATTTGCATAAATTGTATTTATTAGTCTTTTGGTTGTTCTATAAGCGCAAAAAAAAATACATGATTTTTCTGAAGAATAGATTTTTTTTCTAGTTATTTTTTTCTTTACAGTTAAACATGTAGCAGTTAAATATAAAAAACATATAAGATGATTAATATAACATTAAGCTAAATCATTCGTCCATGCACTAGTCTCGGTAGAAATTTAGAAAAAACATTTCTTTTACTTTAAATTAAAATAAGTTCAGCAAAAAACATCATGGCATCAACAACAGATCTGTTAACTTTTTAATGAAATGAAATTGAAAATGGAATGCGCATTATTGCACTCGCAATTTGCAGTTCGTAAATTAAATTTCACAGAACCTTTTTGAAGCGGATCTAAAACCAGAGCGAAACTGAAAATGCAGAAATAAAAGGCAAACGGACAGATCGCATGGCGCCATTTCATTACCAACTGTATAATGAGTTATTTCCTGTTTGCTTTTCAATAAATTGCTAATTAGCATGGCCAATTCGTGCACACCATTATTGGCAATTCACCATGGCTACGCATGAGTGAAATGATTTAAACGCAAAAAAATATAGTCTATTTGTCTTTATGGAATAATGTAGCTGCCTAATTTTTGAAATTTTGGCAAGAATTTTTAATCAGTCTAAATTTTTTGAGTACATTCATTACAAACAAACAAATCTTTCCTTTTTATTATTAGTAATATAAATAAAGACAGTTAATTAATAAGGTAAATAATAATAATCAGGTAAAAATTAATTACTTTCTTATGATACAAAAAATAGATAATATAATGTTGTACTTACTAGCAATTTGTTCATCGTCGATTTGGGTAGTCTGCAAGAAATAAAATCCACTTAATTTTCATAGAAACCCATAGTACCATTCTTAAAAACTATATGCCCAACCAAACAAAAAAATGCACAACAATGATTATTTCGATCAACAGACTTATTATTTTTTTATTTTCAGAATAACGTAAGAACTAAAAGCCTTTTACTTAAACGCACCATTTTTAAAAAAGAAGTTTATCCTAAGATGTCGAAAAAGCGCGGGCTGTCAAACCTTGCGCGCGCACCAGATCCGCGATGTAACTGGCCGGACGTGTTTGAACGAAGTTTGAACTAGATTCTGGAATTCCTGGAGCGCGTAATGACAATGAATGGCTGTTCCCCTGAATCTGTTTGTGAGGTGTGTCCTCGTCGTGTGGACTGCTTTCGGGTTTATGAATACTCGACCGGCCCTGGTTTTAAACTGGTGAATGTTTTTATAATATTTACTTTAAAATATAGCCTATGATACTCGGGATTAATGGAACGTTTTACTGTTGAAAGAATTTTCAAAGTTTGTTCAGTAGTTTCAATGATTACTTCCTACAAACAAACATACAAACCATACCACTTTTAACAATTAAATTTAAGTACCTAAATATCTAGATATACGTCTCTACTATTATTACTTAGTTGAAAATTAAGTTTTCGATGCTTTTAGTACATCTTATCAAATATGAGTCTGATTGTAAAAAATCATTTATTTTTTGTGAAAATTCATGACAATATTTTTTTTAAACCTCCATCACCTTTTTATTAAAACGGAAATAGTGTCAATTTCGTATTATATGGATAAGCAAGGTGTTGTCAATTCGAGAAATCCCGGGTTCGAATCCCGGTGGCAAAAACGAGCATTTGTACTCCTGTCATGGATGTTTAATATGTAATTCTATAAAAATACACTTATAAATATATGTATCAAAATATGTATTCTATTCGTTACCCTAGTATCCCACAACCCAACACTAACTTTGGGGTTAGGCTAATTGGTGTTGGAAATATTTATTTACAATATTATATTCACGTAGATAAAGTGTTATGTCCTAGGATGATTTTATAAATCGAATTTTGGCGAAAATTCTAGGAATTTTGCAAAAACGCGGATAATCATACAATGTCGCCCGCGATCGTGTCGAGGCAGTGACCACTAACCTATGTGAACCCAAAACCCACGACTATTTATTATTAGCTAACGATCCTTTTCGTAATCTTATTGACGCAACTCGCGTAATCGCAAAAATCCTATATTTTTTTTCAGTAAAATTCAGAAATGCCGTCGCCATTGTTGAATCGCAAAATCCCTAGGATTTTCGCGAAAATTCGGTTTAGCAAATCATCCTACGACATATATACTGTGAAAACGCAAAAGCGATGACTGACTAACAATCTTAACGAAATGCAAATATTCGTGTTTACATTTAGCAACCTATTTGAAATTTATAAATAGAAAGTTGACTCATTTAGTATCATAATAAGTAAATAAATATAAGCGAAGCTCGATTGTATAGTGGTTGGAACTTTCGATGTGTGTTTGTGGTAATTAATAACTTTCAAAATGGATGTTCATACCCATACCCTTAAATTGAGCGGCAAAAAACTATAATAGCTCCTACGTGCTTCAGAAGGTACGTTAAGTATCCCTACTGCATCTTCAGTCCAGGCTCAGGTGGTTAGTATTTCATGGTTCAATCTCTTTTTTCGTGCTTGCTGTTCCATGTTTCAGACTCCAGAAATCAAGAGGTTCATTTCTGGGTTGTAGTATTGCATTGTTTAATAAAGTTCCCCAAGATCTGATTGAGCTTCCACTGACCAAATTTAAATACCTCAAGAATACTCTTATGATTAAGGGCTATTATAAAGTTGATGATTATTTAAATAACGGTAATGCATGGACATAGTGTTTCTTATAATTTGTTATTTAATGGGTATTAGTCATTTTTCATAACAGTAATATGATATCCAATGCCGCTTCATTATACTTAATATAAAGTTAACTATATCATTTATTGTAACTAACTAGTCTGGCCATAAATACTGTTACATAAAAACTTTTTTTTCCAACTATTTCATTATTTTGAATTTGGAACACCTAATATACGTTTATTTTAAAAAAATCTTTCGATTTTGCGCCATTATCAAATTACAATAAGGAATGGGGTGTTAAAGAGAATATGATTGCAGAGATCACCGTGCACAAAGTGGGTATGGAGCCGTCGGTCATAATCCAGACACTTCAAAAGCTTGGTACCAGCCACATGTTCGTGTGTCGTACTATCAACAGATACAACAACACTTTGTCTGTTGAAGACCAGAAAAGATCGGGGCGGCCGCGTGCTGTTAGAACTACAAAGGCTGTAAATGCTGTTAAAGCCGGAATTTGTCGAAACCCCATTAGGAAGCAAAACTCTTATCGAGTGAAATGAAGATTCCCGCTAGGCCTCTTTCGCGTAATATAAAACATGACCTGAACGCTTTAGACTTCAAATTATGGTCAGTTTTAGAGGACATGGCCTGCTCACAACGACACGGCGACATTGAGTCTCTTAAAAAATCTTTGGATCAAGCAGTGGCGAAATTACCCTGGGAAACAGTGCGTAAATCTATAGATTCGTAGCCAAACAGATTAAAGGCCTGTATAAAAGCCAAAGGTGGCCATTTCGAATAGAATATTGTTTTATTTTTCCTGAGACTGTAATAAATATGTAGGTATACATTTTAATAATATTGCATTACTTCATTAAAAAAATGCATTTTCATTTCTAACATTATGGCTGGCCCCAACTTATGGCTGGGCTTGGTATATATCTATATTCTACATGATGTAATGGAAGGTAATTTTTCAACTTGATGACTCTGTATATATACAATACAGGGAGAAAAAAACTACCCTTGCTGAGGGTTTTGCTGGGTCTTCTCAGTACATGGTCTCTCGTCGTAGTTTTGCGAACCGATGGCTTAGCTTCTTGACCTTCACAAGTGCTTGTAACAGCCTAAACCTTGCCCAGACTGAATAAATGATTTTTGAGTTTGAATTTGAAAGCGAATGAACAAGTTTGTACAATGATAATAATAATAAATCGTTTATTTCTCAACACAATCATTTTTGCATCGATAACAATTTTTAATTAGCTAATTACATTAATGTTTGTGTTTGACTGATTCCCGCGCTAGGTAAGATATACCTGTGTTACAGGTCATCAGACTCCCACAACCTCGAATTGCCAATGTTAGTTAACAAATATGAGTTTATTAATCATAATTGTCACATGTTAAATAAAAGAGTATATTTGAATGACCGTGTCTGTGTATTTGGTGTGAGTACGAGTGTGCGTGCTTGTGTGTGTGTAAACGTGAGCATGAATGATTATGTGTGTGGATGAAATGGTATGTGTAAGACAGACAGCTGATATTTTTGCTATATATTATCCTGTGGTGAGCAATAGGTAAATAATGATGTTTGATTGAACTCTGGGAATAAATATTCTCTTGCTCAGTCATCAATGGAAACAACGTAACATTATTTTGATCATTCCATTTACCGAACGTACAATAATTGTTTGCTCGTTCGGAACTGCTCTGAGCACTACTTGAAAACGCAGGATAACACAGAACCATTTTTAGTTAATTTCGAGACTCGCCTTCGTTAACACCTAGGTGCTTACTATGCAAACAACCTTGCTTCTTACATCGACAGCGTGTAATCCTGAATCACAGGCATGTGTTACTTAACAAGATTAACTCTAATCTTGTTTATTGCATCGTGCCCACTGTACAAACAGATACAAGCTCGCAGACATAATTTGATTAGAATATCAAAAGCATTTGTATCAAACAACCTAATTAAATTGATGTTAAGAAAATGCTATTTACCGTTATCTATTCTATTATATCTAAGGGGACATATACTTGCTATGGGTACCAATAAAGTCGCTTATACACGTACGCCAAGCGAAAGCCAATATTGCATTGTCAACATATAGACAGCATATTTGTCTTGCCTTGTCATTGTTCGGGTTCACTTGCCCAATTTGCCGAGTAAAGGGAAGCGCCAATGTGTATTTACCTCATTTGGCGGCGCTTGTCGGCACTCGTTGTCGTTTATCAACATTTGTCTTAATTTTTCCATAGCAACTGATAACGCATCAACGTATGGACCGCTCCAAAATGCTCGTCTATATTGGCCACTTGCACTGGTCTTCTTCAAACTTGCCCAACGTCTAAACGGTAGCACTTGCCTTACAGTTTGCCTACGCTCGCGCTTGGGTAAAGCCACTGGCGGCTTTATCTTGATGATGTTTTCACTCCCACGATGTACAAAATTACATGAGCCGAGAGCCCGTGATCCACCACACAGGTTGCAGATGCAGTTGGTAGTCCCAACGCACTCCAGAGCTCGGGCTAATAAACTGGTCGTCCATCCGATGTAAGACCATATTGTAGTACCTTAACTATCATAACCAAAGACTGAAAGCTTAGGAAGTACTATACTGCTCCATCGAAACAAGAGACAGTGTAGTTTAGTTTTATGAATCCACCTTGTCAGCGAAAGACCGACCTCCTTTGCGTGGTTTTGGTTTTTGTCAAGTTTTTCTTTACACGCGTTTGATTTTCAAAATGTATACATGACGACGCGCCATTTGCAAATTCAGTGGCATTAACTGCGATTTCTTATTTTATCGCTTACACTCCTGCTAGATATATAGAGTGTTACAAAAATACAAATAAAGCTTGAAGGGCGTTGAAGTACATCATATAAGGAGTCTTCTCTAATTTTCTTAAAATATTTGCATGAAGTTTTAACTTTTTATAAAAACAGTTTTTTAATGATCCTCGTACTAGTGACGTATCTTAAAATGATCGATATTTTTATTAACCATAAAGATAACTGTTTTGTTTTTATAAAAAGTTAAAACTTCATGCTAATATTTTAAGAAAATTAGAGAAGACTCCTTATGTGGTGTACTTCAACGCCCTTCAAGCTTTATTTGTATTTCTGTAACATCCTGTATAGATATATCTATTATAATACCTACCTATTATATCTTCCCAATTTTCTCTGAAACAAATTCGTTAGCCAGGTAAGTAGGTGCCTATGCGTAGCTACAGACGTGCCTCGCAATAAAGATTTATTCCCTTCTGGATAAGACGAATTACAGGAGGGAGACTGAAACAATGGCCAATCTATCGTTTTTATCGCGATCATTCAATCAAGGCCCTTCGACACCCTTCTATTCGGTCGAGATTTTAACTCCGAGAAGAAATATTTCCAAAAGTCACAAATGATTCTTAAACCTTAATCGAATAAGTTGGC